TGCTGCTGCTGCTCGCCCGCCGGCTGCACGATGGCGGTGTCCCCGCCCTCCGCGCCCTCCTCCTCCATATACTCGTCGTCCTGGAGGAACGGCTTCAGCTCCTTCACCTTCACGTCTATAAAGGCGCGAATGATGTTCTTGTCGCACGTCCTCGTGTTCGGTTCGGCGGGCGTGGGCCCAGGGCTCGCGGGGGAGCCGCCCGCCGAGCCCAAGCCCAGGTTCAGAATGTTCTTCAGGAACAATGTCATGAGCGAGGTGTCGCCCCCCTCGGCCAGCACGGTGGTAGATGCCATCGCCGGGATCGCGCATCTCAACACTGAAACATTATATACACTTTTAAAATACCAAAATACAATATACAAATTACACATAGCTTCATGTCGAGTGATGTGCAGACGAGGTTCTCAACATCGAAGCCATTGTTCGAGCAATATTATGATGAAATAAGTTTAGCCTAAAACACAATTGTTGTGAAGTCAAACAGACTGCGCCAGGAACCAGAGAATGATGACTGTGCGTGCTGTCTGTGCGTGCCGTCTCTGCGTGACACCTGACAGCTGACAGCTGACAGCCGAGAGGTGAGCGAGCTGCGACTGAACGCGTTGAAAAGAAATCCGCCATTTTGTGTATAAACATTCAAATTTTGTTTCCAGCGATACGTATTTACTGTTTAAGTTTTTTATTGAAAATAAAGTCTGTTACAAATAATAAATGATAAGTAAAGATGAGAAATAGTGTACATACAACTTTAACACTTTTAATCCGGAAGGGAACCGAATCTTATCTGTTAGAGAATTACGAAAACGTGTTGCTCACATAATTGTAACATAAAGTATGACAATTGATATGTCACATTTGTGTACTAATAAACATATTTGTCATAAGTCGCTGCACTCTGCCGCCTCGTCTGATGATGAAACACGGTTTGAAAATTGTATATCATTTTGTGAAATTAAAAAGATTGGAAACCCTGAGAGCTTGTTTATATTCTTTATATCGTTCCGTTTGTACAACCGACTATAACAATGACGGGTAAGTGCTGGTTAATTTAACAAAAATAAAGCTTTTATAGATGACGCATTGGTTATGTGAATGTGTTCAAGTTCAAGCATGAAGGTTCAGCCTCGTGGCAGTAGTTGTGGCAGGTGAGGGCGCCCCGAGGTCTGCGCGTGCGCCGCACACACAATGAACAAACTTTGCATATTATACCTTCACACGAAATGAACAGGAGAAGTAACATTTTCATTTGTTGGAATATTCCCGGTATTGTATCACATTTCAGTTACACTGTTTTTAAAAAAGAAACAAAAGTGTATTGATATATTTTATCGACAAACGTAAACACTTTATCGAGTTTCAATAAATTTGTGTGACGATAACAGTTTATTGTTCGCTTCGTGCGGAGATTGCAACAATGTATCGAGCTGTCGGCTCTCCTCCGCAGCGGAGCGCTCATCTCCCTGCTCTTGTCTTCTGTAAGTACGAGTAAGAGAGCGCCGACATGACATGACCGGCATGTTAATTCCAAATGACGCTATAACATTACTCCTCAACATTATTGTGTCTTTTTTAATATCGCTTTTGATACATTTGTTACGATAGGAAATACTTACCGTTGATAAGTGAAGGATGTACATTTGTTTTTGTTTATTGAAATAAAAAAAAAATATTCAAAAGCAACAGGATTTTTATTAACAATATAATTGTATCGACAACCATCAAATAGAGATATGTAAAAAATTTAAAGTAATTCGTACAAATAGCTTAATTGCACAGATAAGCTTAAACACTAATATTGCAACAAAGATATCACCTTGACACTAACAAAATACCGATACGATACGATACACACACTCTTTACTTTGAAATAAAACACGTTTCTGCCAAAATAGTAATATTTCCACGCGCCTCCACCGCGTCTGCACCGCGTCTGCTCCGCACCAGCATAAATATACACATGAACGTTCCATAAGCAAAATTAAATCTAAAAGAAGAATTCTTTTTGTATAAATAGCCTCCAAGTGAAGTTCTAAAACTTACAATAATTTATATATTTACGTTTGCTACATCTTAATTACAAACATTTACATCCTAATTGAAAAAAATACTATTATTATCGTTTATTAAATATTGATTTCCTATCGAACTGCTTTCAACAAACTGGTCCCTTCGAATAATTCCACAGGTCGGGTCGTGTCGTGCTCGTGTCGTCCTCGCCGCGTTCTCACAACCTCATACCTGACACCTCTTCATATCTTCAACATTTACGTTATAAACATAAGATGCAGTTATACCTGATAATGATTGAGGTAAACCTTACGAGAATCAATATTTTCACGAGAAGTGACTGATGTGAATATACAACGCAATTTATGCTATGCCGTAGACCTACAATAAACACTAACAAAGTCTTTTGTCTGAAAGTGTGTCCGAGCCTAGTCATGCACGCGTCGGACACGCGTCGGGCGCTCTACTCGAGCAGGTTGAGCTTGCTGTTGGTCTTGCGCAGCTGCGCGCGCCACGGGATGATCTTGGCGCTGTCCTCCTCCTCGGCGTGCTTGCCGTTCGTCATCGAGTGCCCTGCAATAAGATATGGAATAAAATGTTGACCGGAGCGGCCGGTGCCGAGTTATCTGCGGCCCGCATCGCGTACCGTTGTAGTGGTCCGTGCACAGCTTGGCCTCAGAGGGCGCGCGCGGCGGGTGCGCGGGCGCAGGCGCCGGCGCGGGCGTGTCGTAGCACAGCGTGATGTTGTCGATGGAGAGTGCGCGCTGTCCGGCGGCGGGCGCGGGGAACGCGCGCCACTCGCCGCCCTCGCGCTCCGACACCCGCGGCGTGTACAGCGACTCCCTGCAACGTGACACTATTTATTGCCACCTTTATTTATACACGGAACGACCAGAATTTTTAACAACGACGGAACAAGTAGAAGATTAAAGAGGCAACCGTCGCTGTGCCCATAATACTATAATCGTATTACTTATGTACTTGTTTTTTTAATAGAAAACAATTAGTTAATAAAGGTACAGCAATAAAAATTTTGCAAGAGATACATGGAGTTTATTAATTTTGTTAGAAATACAGATTACGAAAATGAATAAAACTAAGGACCTGAGGCGGTTTTCGGCGTCCTCGCGGCGCTGCAGCAGCTGGCGCTTCCAGGCGGGCACGGCGGCCGCGCGCCGTCGCTCCGCCTCGCCCGCCAGCTCGCGCTCGAGGTCGCGCCGCGCGCGCTCCGCCGCCCGCCGCGCCAGCATCTGCCGCTTCCACGCCGGGATCAGGTTGCCGGCGGCGTCGCGCTCCGGCACCTGCGCACAGCCCTGCTCGACACGCGCCCACCCACACCACACGCTTACAACGCGGCCGGCCCGCGCGCCACCCGCGCACGCACCGCGCACACGACGCGGCGCGGGGGACGCGACGCCTCTTGCTACTTATAAAACTAACTCTTAAAAATTCTCTAACGAGGTTATTTTCGCAGTAACAATTTACATCATACAGTGATCACTTTGAACATTTATCGAGGCGCAAAGAGATTGTGATCCGGTCAAATTAAATATTGAAGCTACTTTGCGTCTACAACTAATTCGCATAGAGCTGAAAATTTGCAAAAATGTTCGGAACTCCATCATCTTAGTAGATCATAAAGATACCTATAAAAAATCCTTTTCTCCTCCCATATAATGATGTCCTAAATAATCCTACTAATTTACAGCTTTCTGTCGATTATTGTAGCTAAACTCTTTAATTTTATGCTATGCTTATTTTGACTGCACTATTTAAAAAAATGCATGTCAAGGTTCAGGAAACATTAGCCACCGACGTATACAATTTAAGTAGCAACCTCCTTTAAGTTATTAACCTGTACACGAGCGAGCAATCTCTCGGCTAACTTGACTGTACGAACTTGACAATACGGAATGTGAGAAATATATAATAAATAAGGCTAATAATTTTATATTAAATTGCACAAACGAAGATATTATTTAACGTGTGCAACTGATCGGATTATAACTAGTACAATAAAAACAACTCTGCCTGACCTACTGTTGCTTCCTTCTTCGCCGAGTTAACAAATTGATTCGGCAACAACAATAATTACTAATTAACTGTGAAATAGTTTTTTCCAAGTTAACTGGTTAATTATTTTTCGTTAGCAACAATTTCCTTGTAAGCAGTAACTAGAGAGAGACCATGTAGCTGTCGGATTGCGATATCTTTCTACGTTCCAATGATTTTGCTGCCTTTTTTCTATTTATACGTAGAGGCGAGATGTACCGTTGTGTCCGGCGGCGGCGGGCTGCGGACGCTGCAGCGCCTGCGATGTCTAGCCACAGGCAACGGACGTGCACCCGTAAAGTATTTTAACTTTGGTAGATAAAAATTTTGTTAAAGGTTTAACATAATAAACAGCTTCCTTCTATCTAGAATCAGCTAAACGAGAAGTCTTTTAGAGTTTAGTTCATCTGTACGGTACCATTTTTTCTGTTTTATTTGTTGCATTGTAGTTTACTGTACACAAAATGTACAACGTTAAAATAAATGAGTAAAAGAAATAAAATATGACATGGCCAGCAATAACAGTCCAGGCTATAACAAGACCCATATTTAGGCAATTGTAGTGTTAGACCCGTGCCAGCCGCCGCGAGTGTACCGTACTTCAAGTCATTCGTCACTAAACTTATATGACGTGACCTGACCCCCGCCGTGAGGGTCTCTCACATTTTGTTTCGATAATAAGACGAGCAGGCGCCGCCGCCGAACTGTTACAACCCGCGACGACGTCGAGACGACGCGACACACATAACACGTTCAGCGTCCTTACACTTTGGTATATAAAAATCTTAGTGACTTTGTAACGTCTTAGATATAGTTATGTACCCTTTAATTGTTAACAACAAACTTTATATTGTTTTAACTCAAAAGATAAACCGGATTAATGTATTTGGTTTGTGTACCGCGTCCCATTTATAATACATTGTGTAAAGTAATTGTGGAATGGATGTGTTTGTATCGTTATGTGGAAAAACGATATATTTATGCGAAGACTGTACTTGAAGTGAGCGGTATTATACGAGCGGCAATACTTTGATGTATTGCAATATGACAGTTGTCCATCTGTATATGCGATGCTGGGACGTGTGAGGCGGCCGGCGCATGGCGGAGAAAGCGTGACAACTGATATACGCCGCGTCGCGCCGCCGCCGCCGCAACGCGCTCTCAAAATAAACTAAAACTCATTCGGATCGTTAGCTAATTAATATAACGCGTTAAAACGACTTTCTTTCGAGCTCCGGCAATAAACGGCAATTACTTACGCAACGCGAGGCAGTACAGCGCAGTAGAGCGCAGTGGAGCTGCCGCTTACGCTCGAAAAAGGATTTTTACTAAAGGTCGGAAGTATTGGAAGAAATTTACATTGAAAGTCACGGAGAAATATATTTCCTTGGGGAGATTTTTTAAAAATTGACATTGACCCAGGTACAGGTAGACAGGTAGTCAGTGCGTACCATGAGAACATTGCTGTCACCGGAGCGGCTGCACGACACCACTTCACATATAACATGCGGACACTTTCTCCAAGTGGTCGACCAGCCGCCGAACCCAATAATCGATCTCGCATCATTTTTGTTGATGTGTGTTTGAATTGTGTACTTCTGAACAAACACATTAACGTAATCGTATCGATCTACAACAACAACGCAGTGACAGTCAGTTATCGCGGCGCGAATGTGCTGAAGAAGGAAACAAGCGCGAACTCATCTATTCTGTTTGATCATGTCACATTTGTTAACTCAAAATATTACAATACGACTCCTGATGACGTTAAACAGCAAACAGCAAGTGGAAAATAACTGGTTTTGGTCAATTATTCTAAAGTTTACGGTAGTCGTACGTGAAGCGTGAAAATAGAAAATATAATCTATGATGTGGCGGCTACAACAATATTGGTAGAGTGCGGCAGTGCAGTTACCTGGTCGACGAAGTTGTCCGCCGTAAAGCGCTTGGTGAACTCGGCGAAGGTCTCGTGGTCCTGCAGGCTCTCGCGGCGCGCGCGCTCCACGCGCAGCTTGCGAATGCCCGTAATGTCCCTCGACATCTTCAGCTCCTCGATGAGGTCCGTCTTAGCGCTGCGGAAGTCCGCCGCGCTGGGCAGGCACTGCAGACTGAGGGAGCGCGCGGGCGCCGGCGCCGACAGCGTCTTGCCAGCGGGCGCCCGCAGCCGCACTGCGCACAACTCGGCGCTGCTGATTGCCGCCAGTGGCTGGTGCGCGGGCGGCGGCTGGGGCGGAGCGGGCGCGGCGGGCGGCGCGGGGGGCGCGGGTGGCGCGGGCGGCGGGGGAGCCCCCTCCGCCGCGCCCTCGTCGCGCTTGCAGGGCGCCGTGATGGTGCGCAGGTACTCGGAGGGCTTGATGAGGCGGTCCGGTGCCGCGTGCGGGAAGGCGGGCGGTATGAAGGGAAGCGCTGGCTGCTTGTTGACGAGGTTGGGTGCTCGCGGCCGCTCGCCGTCTGCCGCCGGGCCCGCGGAGCCGCGCCGCGCTGCAACACTCGTCGCGTTAGTGGGGAGTGAAAGTCCCTCCTCCGCCGCGGTCGCTCATAACACTCCACTTACCTTAACTCTTTTAGTACTGGCGCATTAATGTATGTATATTACGATGCATTAATATCAATTAAAATATCTATGTTTTAAGAATAATGTATGCATCATCAGTACAACGTTTAAACAATATGTAGTGGTGGCGCAAGCCCCCCGCCCCGCACCCCGCACCCTGCGCTAACGCAATGCGAGCAAAAAGTAACCTCGTTAATTGCGAGCATCGGGCAGAGCAGAGCAGAGCAGAACAGAGCAGAGCACGACATACTGCGTGGTAACGGAACTGTTTTAAATGCTTCCCGGAATTATCTGTTATTGTGTAAACCTGAGACGTTCTCTGTTTGCACTCGATTGGCAGAAAGATGAGGATTTTCCCCAGCATGTGGTAGAATAAGATTTTGCAATTTGTACTGTTAGGTTGTAGCCATACTAAATGTCGACTTTTATGTCTCCTCACTAATCATTCTGACACTTGACTTGATAACGAAATCGCGCCGTTAGCGCCTGGGGTTTCCGACTATAGTGTGTCTATTTATGATAGATTAATTTAACAATTCACTAGATGTGGGTTGAGTAAAATCTATTAAGAATTTTTTCGATTTTCGATGTTTGTTCTCATAGGACTTGCAATCGAGAATTCGTGATCATTGTTTTTGATTTTTTTTTATTAAGTATTATATTAATATTATGTAAATAAAATTGTTCCGTTCTATTTCCACTTTATCCTTCATAACCACATAAAGAAATAAGACATCAAAATAAAAATTGCGATGTTGACGAACAGAAAATGTTTTATATAAATTAATTGTGCGATACATTGACAAATAACTGTAATAAATTCTAAAATTTATAAAATACCTAAATTATACAATTACCATACCGTTTGTTGGATTAATTTTATTACAAGACTGATTATCTCGATAGTTGATAGTGAATCGTTGTGCGCGACGGTACTACAGCCGTCCGACACTATGACAACCGTCCATTTAGTACGACATTAATCCTCATACAAAATTAATTCGATATTTTATAGGCGTCACTTGTCAAACGAATCTATCTTAAATAGACACGCTATAATAATGTCTAAAAGTATAATACATAGATAAGTACATTCCATTTTCCAAGATGGCTGGTCCGATTCCACCAGTAATATGTCATAGGATTTTTCCCCGTCCCCGATATGAGTGTTCTCCGGAATGTGGCAGTGAGTGGGGCAAGTTGACTTTCTGAATTTACAACAAGTTATTGTAATAATGCGCACTGACCACATCCATGTGGATATGGCATCACGTATGTGTGGCATCACGTATGTATGGCATCACGTATGTATGGCATCAGCTACACCGCTATAACTCCGCCCGTAAGTTCAACTCTTATATTATATTTTTGTTTGAAATTGCGAATCTGCGGCTAACATTAAATGAACATTTATTATTATTTTAGCTATCAGAGTCAGATTGCAGTCGGACGCAAACGTAAGCGACTGATCGAAAAGTCGCAGCTTTGCACCGATAGGTAATGTAGGGCGAGGCGCGGTGCGGCGTGGCGCGGCGCGGTGCGGCGAGAGGGGCACCGGACACTTGTGAAACGATCTGCTCCAGTAAATGATTACATTCAAATACAGAAATTGCTTTGCCTTGCGAACTTGTAGCAGTGCGTCCTAGCCTCATATTACCCTCCGCACGTCATTCAGTCTATGTCCTTGTCATTAAACTGATATGGGTTTGGATTGTTTCATTCCTGTTAATTATTAAGCAATCTGACGCTCAACCGTAAGCACACTTGTTCCGTTTCGTGTCTCAGAGAGTTACAGGCGTTACGGTTCCGGTCCGCTTCCTCAGCTGTGTGGTGCAGCTAACGAGCGATTAATCGACAACATATAATATTTTGTTGACTCAATATAATTAGTCAATTTGCATTGCACGAGAGTAAGATCAAAGATTCGTGATAATTGCCGCTTTTGTTGCGAAACAATCGCGAGTGATGAGTGGCGACATCGTAATGTGAAGAGATTTTGCGATGCAAAGCTCAGCAATTTTTTATTAGAAACCGAATTATCGAATGTTAATGGTTTAGGAAAGTCTGCTGCAGCTCTATGTTAGTGCGGCACAAACTAACAATATACTGGTGCTGGCAACGATCCGCCTCGCGCTAGCACACGCTCTGGCGCTAGCACATGCACCGGCGCTGGCACTGGGTGGTACTGGTACTGGCACTTGCACTCGGCTAATGTCAACAAAGGCAGCCACATTGTTTACTTTTTGTTGTTATGTGATGTGGGCACAGTTTGTGTACAATATTTTGCAGTCAGTGTCACAATATTGAACTGCATTAGAAAGCTCCGTACTCGTGGAGGAAACATTCCATGAATCTGACGCGAATACTAAAACCGCAAATGTGGAAACGGCAATTTGTTTGAAACCGTGTTTTACTGTTACCTTGCAAGATTTAAACAGAAGAGAAAAAAACAATTTAAAACAATGTTTAATTTTTACAACAATTTAAACCTTAAATGGCTATGAACACGAAGAGTGCGTGATGAAGAAGGACGAAAATAATACTTACGATGTCGTTCAGTGTATTCCTTTAATTTACTTATTAATTTGCAGAAAACGCACCAAAACAACACAAAACGTCGAGTTCCGACGTCGCCGTGGACCCCAATCAAGGCACTAATGAAGTGTCCCCAGACAACTAGCACTAACACCCGAAGTCCGCGCACACCAGCCACCGGATTACCGCACAGAGCACGGAGAGCACACAGCGGCCTCGAAAGGTTAACTGTTCTCATGCGAGCGGCGGGCGGCCGTCGCACTCTGATTCCTGATGCCGTCTGACAGATTAATCGCCGCTTTCTTTCATCTCCGCCCGTCCCCGCGCCCCGCCCACTCCCCGTACCCCCCACCGACTTGACAATAACATTATTTTTTTTATGAGAAAGTGCGAAGTCAGCGAATATGCTGAACAAAATCATGGACATTCGAGTCCTGACCGCGTTTCGTTTTATTCAAATTTATTGCACGACATTAAATGTTTTTTTCGTTACCATTGATAAATATTAAGAAGAGGTTAGTCAAGTAAAAATTGAATGGCCAAGCCAAGAGGCAATGCGCAGCGCAGCTTCTTCAGTCGCGCGCGTTGCTGCGGTGTGCAGTTGCTACACAAGAGGGGCCGATCACCTTTCGAAGCTTTGACTTGAACCATAACATGCTCCCAAATAAACATCGCAATGTGGACCGCACGCACTACCATACACCGATGATGACGGCAGTTGGTAGGTCGCGTTGGCGCTTGCGCACTCATATTTACTATGGTCAAAGTTAACGTCTAGGTGTAAACTTCTAACGCGACACACAAACTTCTTTGGTAGTTTCTAACGGATCTAATTGAAAGGAATTCAATACTTACATATAACAAAGCGACGTGTTGATAAATATGTAGTCTTAATATATTTCAGATGCAAGTCACAATATGATATTTATTGTTTAATTTCTATAGAATGTGCGATTGCTAACGTTTGTAAACAGTTGCAACATTGGCGCGAGTCACACCTCAACATTACTACGTTACAACTTCAATGACAATAGTGCTTTTGATAATTACCAAGCTATTTTTGTGCAAGTGGTGTAGAACTAGCGCTGGCAAAATAATCATACCGAGACGGCACTATTTACCGGCAATAAAGTAATCTACTTTCTATTTTCTTTGCTGAGTAATATGTTATTTGAGAGATATGAGTCGACATCGCGCCGCGTCGTACCGTACTGTCAGACACCTGTGCCACAAGACACAGACGCAGACACAAGGTACAGACGAGCTACACGTTGTAGTACCCGAGGCGGACACTCTGCTATACAACTTTCCCGATTGGAGCAACTCTTGGAAATTTGGAGCAAATATATAAAGTTCAATATACGTACACGTATTGTGTACTCGTAAGTAGGTTTGTTTATTGCTTGGTCACAGTACAGGTAGTGCACGGCTCTTCGTTGGTTGTGATTGATTGTTGATTACAACACGGTTTCTACGTCAGCTTCGTCAACGAATGGAAAGTGGACAAAAATGTAGTCAGTTGAGGAGCGATTCCTCTATTGTATATGAGACGAGGTTTTTTGTAAATGTTCGCTTTAATCAGAACGAGACTAACGGCCGCCGGAGTCGCGGTAGAAAGTAAAAAAATATAATGATGTACTGGCCGAGTGTTAAACTGATTCTGAAATTAATTTCACAAATTTAGAGATCTTTCACGTCTCGCATACTAATTGTGCGCCGCGCCGGCGCTCTCCCGCCGGTGCTGCTCGATGCTCGAACAAACATTTATTGCAACAATTGCAACTAAAATAATAAATTATGATAATTATTTTATTTAATTTATGACAGATTAATGCGCGTGCAACATGTACGCACACATACATATCTTAACACTTCGGTTTTAATGGTGTACGATTATCTGCGGAAAGTTTATCTCGGCCTGGCTCCAGTCTCTCGTCTCGACACACGACTCACTGAGCGCAATCTAAACGTTGCGCTTTCTGCCTTTTCTTTGACTTTACGTTTAACTTAATATTTATGTTCATTAAACGAACTCTATTCATTTTGAATGGTTTCTTTTATTTGTGATATACTCGTATCTGAACCCGACATGACATTTTATATAATATTAAATAAAAAATAAATGTGATAACTAGATGTGATCGTGATTACATTGTACAGGAACTTTTTGTACATAAGTAATACGAGTATATATGTTAAAAACACGACTTGACACAAACTAGAATTGTGAACGTTATATTTTAAAACGTAGTGCACATAAGTATACATTATAAATCACCGATCTATTGTAAGCGATGGATAAATGATGATGTGTTTCATTTCATGTTTATTGTCTCGCTGCAAACTTTATTTAGATCAAATTGCTCATGTTAAACATTTATAAGAGACAAATTTTGAATGAGAGAATAAGAATATGTGGACCTAGAGGGTTATAAGTTTTAATCGTACTTACCGAGTCTGTTTCTGAGCTCGGAGGGCCTGAGGGCGGGCTCCTCGAGCACGGCGGGCGGTGGCGCGGGCGGCGCGGGCGGCGGCGGCGGCGGCGGCGGCGCCTCGTCCCCCGACCCACCCCCCGAGCTGCCCCCCGAGCTCACGCCGGAGGAGGCGGAGCAGAGTGCGGGGGGCGCGGCGGGCGCGGCGGACGCGGCGGACGCGGGGGCTTCCTCCGACACCGAACCGCGCCGGCTGCCCGCCGCCGATGAGATGCGGCTCGCCTGCTGACCGACCGACACACACACTCATATGCTGATTACTGTCGCAGTAAACATCATAGAACATCATAGGATCAAGTACTGAAGCGATGCTCACGAAGTTGTGCGCCTTGTGCGTGAGCGCCGCGAGCTTGGCGGCGAGCGCAGACTTGTGGGCGTCGCCGGGGCCGGGCGGGGGCGGGGGCGGGGCGGCGGCCGCGGGGGGGCACACCTCCTCGTACCCTTTGTAAGAGCTAAAGCAAACCATTCTGTTGCACTTAATTGTTCCGGTAACAGGGGTGCTACTATCACCCCTTTGAGTATACAAAATGACATAAATGAAAAATATGCCATAATTAGTTTGACTTATGCCCACCGGGTCAGATTACGCTGTCAGTTTATATTTATTAAATCTGGTATAGCTATAGGTTTGACACTGGTATTTGTGATACTCGTGCATCTAATAAACTTAAGGCAATGACGCGAGGAAATCAGTAAGCTACATATAGGTATACCAACACACAGATAATAAAGTCTTCTACGTCGTGGTACTACTATTAGGTGCGGGGTGTGCGAAGTGTGCGAGGTGTGCGAGGTGTATGAGGTGTGCGGGGTGCGCGGGGTGTGCGACGTGTGTGGGGTGTGGGCTGTGCGA